AGTTCTTGGTCCTTACATTGGGATTATCAGCCCACTCATTTGAGAAAGACTTCATGAAAGGAATGGGGTTTGAAGGAATTTTTTTAGATTGTGGTTTATCTTTAAGTGCCCAGAAGAGATCTGTATAATTACAATGTCACTGTTTCATGACTTTCTTAGTAAAAAGAGAATTTAAATGACTTCTTGCTACATACTGATCAAGAAAAATACATTTTCCTATCATTTTGAGAGAAATTTGCAATTTAGAGAGAGAGAAGAGCATTACCACATAAGATATTCTTACTCTGTCTGTTTAAATCTTACCTATATAATTATTTATTATCTACTTACTACGTATATGGAAATATGCCGTATTTTAAACTTGCACAAATATTAGCATGAATCCTTGTTAAAAGGTTGTAAGCTACCATTTGTAATTTGGAATGTAAATATATTTGGGATAAAATATAAAACAAATGATATATGTCTTAAAAGAACAGATTGTATAGAAATATTTATTAGGAACATAAACTAAATGAAGTCAATCCCTAAAGAGCATCCGGAATGAACTAATGCGTCATGTTTATAAGCAAAAGGGGCTCTAAATGGATGTGCATTTAAGGATATTTGATATTGCCTCTAATGACCTCTGAAGTAGCCTCTTAAATTTGATCAGCTTTAGATTTTTCTGCTGAAGAAATTTAAAAAGAAGAAAATATCATTATGAAATAATCAGCTTACTCTCATCAAACATGAAATCTAATATGGAAATTTTGCTTTCCTTAATCTTCCTTGCAGAATTAAAAGGCAAGTAGAAGATTGGTGTTTTAGCAGATAAGTAGAGGCAATGTTGCATTGCCTGTTGCCCCGAACACTGCTTTTCTTTTACCCAACTGAGAATTTCCAAATCATGACATAAACCAGGGCAGTGCAATTTTAGGCACAATTTCACAACTGTTCTGTTAAAGATCCTGTATTAAATATGAAGAGGCCTGCCAAAAAGATGAGTCCTTAGAGTGGGGGAGTCACACATTCTAGGCATCATTAAAGTATTTTAGAGTACATTTCAACATGTTCTTTCTATTCTTTACTCCACTTTTGGGTTTCTTACCTCCAGGAGGGGTGTAAAAACAGTTGAGTTGAGCTTCATGCACCAGAGTGCCCTTAAACTTCACCTCTGTTTCAGCAGACGGGTGACTGGGAAGCGGCTGGTATGCAGGCGTAGCAGGCTGAACAAAGGCTCGAAGCATGGTGAATATCCAGATGCGTACTAATAGGTCAGATTTTTAAAATAAGCAAATATCCTGCCCGTGAGCTTTTCTCCTTGTAATTTTTTAAAACCTAGAAATCATTCTCACAGTCGCATTTCTGAGCTGCATAAGTTAATGCGGCCATATCACATCACTACAAATTTAGGTGACAGGAATGACTTTAAGTTTTAGAATCCTAAAAACCACATCTCTTTTGTGGTTCTTCTCAACCTTGTCTTTTTCTTTCCTTCCTGCTGTGCTCACTGTCTACGTAAGGTGTCCTCTCCCCCAGTGGCTTTACAGGAAAACTGGGATTGAAATGTGAGGTTAATGGTTTCTGTCAGCCTGGCAGCTCATCACCTCCCAAGGCATGATGATCTCTGGTTTTTATTTGTCACCACGAGCTGCTCTGATACACTCTCTTGTGTAGAAGAGTGATAGGTTTGTCCAGGGGTCGGTGGACCTTGGGCCTAAGAAACAGAAAACTTCAGTTGGAATGTGCACTTTAATGTAATTCACTGCTGCCCCTTTCCCAGTGGAATGCAGCTCAAGTGGCAAAACTATTTTAGGGAGAAAAAAATTAGGCCCAGTTCTACATTTTATCTTGGTGCTACCTTTCCGTTGCCAGGACTGTTGGTAAATCTGTTCCCACCCCACCCCACCCTTTGGCTTTTTAAATTTTGTGTTCAAACTAAATATTAACTGGAAAGAAAAGAGCTATTTCAAAATGGTTCATTTTAATCTTAAAGTCAAGTTGCTTTGTAGATAAATGGTCATGCCCTAAAGAAATCTCCACAATGTCTTATATAATCACTTTAAAACCCAGTCTTCCTTCATTCTTTGACATCTGAAAGATGTTTCTGTAGCATTTTCCTTCCCTAATTCTGCATTTCAGTTATCTCGTGGCAATGGTATTGTCAAATTGTGTTTCTGTTTGTATCAACGGTTTACTTGGCATCCTGCCCTTAGGAAAATCTAGTTCCTTATGTCAAATGCCACAAATGTGTAACATCAAAAAAAAATGATACCCAAAATATTTCTACTAATATGTCCTACTGATGAGACCAAATGGCTGTTTTTTTTCTCCACCATTGGGCCGCGAATGTTGTTAGCTATGCTGTTTGTCTCCCATGCTACCCTTTTCTCCTTTGATAGTTTTGGAAGATTCAGTCTTCAAGGAAAAAAAATGGGTAACCAAAAAATAGACCGGGTTCCTAGTTTTGTAACTAAGATTAAAACCACCAAAACACATAAACCTATTAAATAGCCAAATGGCATGTACTTATTTACAAGAACATGAAACTAGGTGGGTTAGTATGTAGGAATCTGTGTAGGCAATCAGGGTAAAACAATGTTGATGGACTGGAAACAACCTTGAATAAAAGTTTCAAGATATACATTTAATCTTGAAATGGAAGAATTTCTTTTTGACATAAAGGCTGTTACAGCCCATTAGCTTCAGAACTCAGATGTTCTTTTTCAAAAGATTGTCATTGTATTAAAGGCAAGATATGAAGTTCTAAGAAGATAAAATGGTCCTGTTCAAGGAAAAGCTGTTTTCTTCCACTTTTACCCCTTCATACATGTAGGTAGGTAAGATAAAGACTCCTGGTACACTAATCATACAAACAGTTAAAAGCCCATTGCTACCTTTCGGCAAGTTAGTAATTCAGATTTATAAGATTCCTTTTAAGATAACTGCTTAAAATTACACTAAAAAGACATTTCCTATACTTACTGACATCTGAATCATTATTGACAAGAAGCAGATATACACACCAAAGCATTGGTCTCATGAGTGGGGGGAAATGTCGTGGTTACTAGTAAAACATCACAACCTGGCTGGCATGGCTCCGTGGTTGAGTGTCAACCTATGAACCAGGAGATCACAGTTCAATTCCCAGTCAGGGCATATGCCTGGATTGCAGGCTTGATCTCCACTGTGGGGTGTGCAGGACACAGCCAATCAATGATTCTCTCTCATCATTGACGTTTCTCTCTCTCTTTTCTTCTCTGAAATCAACAACAATAATAATAAAACATCACAGCTGTTTTAATGACCAAATAATATTTATATAATTAAACTAGAGGCCCGGCACCAGAAATTCATGCATGGGTACGGTCCCTAGGTCTGGCCTGCAATCAGGGGCATCTCCCCCAGCTCCCCACAGCCGGTCCCGCCTCCTGCCACCACCCACCCCCAGTTCCCGTTCGCCATCCAGGGATCGGTGCCTGATGGCGGGGGGAAGGGACCAAGAGGTTGGCTGTTTCCGCCCGCTCGCTGGTCCCGCCCCCGCAGCAATTGGAGCCTGCCTGCCAGGGAAAGGGACCAAGAGGGGGTTAGTGCACCTCATAGTGACTGGCTCAGCGGTCATCTGGTCATTTACTGTTAGAGTCAATTTGCATGTTACCCTTTTATTATATAGGACTAGAGGCCCGGCATGCAAAATCCCTGTGGGATCGGGCCTAAACCAGCAGTCGGACATCCCTCTCACAATCCAGGACTGCTGACTCCCAACCGTTCGCCTGCCTACCTGTCCAATCGCCCCTAACTGTCCTCCCCTCCCGGCCTGGTCACCCCCAACTGCCCTCCCCTGCAGGCCCAGTACCGCCCCCCAACTGCCCTCTTCTGCTGATCTGATCATCCCCAACTTCCCTCCCCTGCAGGCCCAGTCACCCCCAACTGCCTTCCCCTGCCAACCTGATTGCCCCAAACTACCCTGCCCTGCCAGCCATCGTGTGGCAGCCATCTTGCGCAAGGGTGTGATGGTCAATTTGCATACTACCTCTTTATTATATAGGATGTTTTGAAAGTATAAATTATAAATGTTTTCCTTTTAAAAAATGTTTTTTATTGGTTTTCATTGCCTTATAACATTACCACTATTTTCAATGAAGATTTTTAAATGTATATGTAATGAGTGCATTATTTACGTGATAATATCACCAGGTCTTCAATTAGGTATTTATACATTGCTTGGAACTCTTTAGTTTTTGCTATAAAAATGATATAGATAGGTCCATACCAAAGTATACAACTTATTGGAAAATTGTTATATTGATCAATACCAATTACTCATTCATTACTAAATGATAGTCACAGTTGTTTCTAAGCTATCAACAATTGTAAATTTTCTGTACAGATATTTTGAAGTCAGAGATTTATTATGGAATCTAATTTTTCCAGACCCTATCCTAACTTACATCTTAAAAAGCCAATTTCTCAGTTAACATTTACCTGGGAGAAGGAAAAGAGAGAGGGGTTCCTAGACCTAATTTGTGCATCAGGTGTCTGAATACCTGAAAATAAAGATGAAATATGTATGTGAAATGTGCAAATGGAATATGGAAACATTATGTTTCAAAGCCAGGAGTTTAGAATTCCAATTTCATTTTCAATCTCTAGTCATTCATTAAGAAGCATTTACCAAATGCTTATTATGTTCCGGTGTTATATTTTTAAGGACAACAGACTTATATTGACGGGGGGGGGGAGGGGGGGGCCTGTGTGTGTGTGTGCATAAGACCACTATAGATTTCTCTGTGGGCGTAAAAAATTCTAATGGGGGGATAAGGACACATATGTAATACCTTAATCAATAAAGAAAAATAAATAAATAAATAAACTCTGGTGTTAGGTTTTCAAGCTTTAATTCCAATGATTGGTTTCATTTATTCAATAGTTGTGTGTTTCTTTCAAGATGGAGAGAAACTTTCTTTTAATTTTGTAGTTTTGAAGATGCTCATAATTTGTTTGATGTGTTTTTGCAGTGTCCATTTATGGAATTTGGTTTTATGATAAGGAAGAATGCCAAAGAATTGCAGAACTTATGAAAAAGTAAGTGCTGAAAGACTGCGTACTATTTTTTAGGACCTGGTGCTTTTGTTTACATTTCTAAGTATGCGTAACTACACCATAATCTTAGCAGAATATATCTCTTACAGCAATTGTTTTCAAGTGGTTAGGAAAAACATTTACTATTACTTTATAAGTGAAAAAGAGACATAAATACAACTTTTTACATTTTCACTAGGTAACATTTATCATGTGGAATGGCTCACCTCATTGTTTTCTGCATGTGTGAAATACCTGTAATATGAGTTGTTCCAAATGGCAATTTTCCGTAATATCTTCCTTATTTGTCATTTGACAATTTTTCTTTGAAAGTTATCAGTATGTCTATTAGTAGAAAGAACATTGGGAGACATTCTGAAAGGCTCTTCTAGATTCTCTTTGATCTTTCATTTCCTTCCTGCCTAAATACTTTCCTTTAAGTGCATACCCATAGTTGTAGAGGCTCAGGGTTTCCCCACCCTCCAACACTGTGAGTACTTAGGATGGTCTTTGTTTTCTCTCTCTCTCTCTCTATCTCTATCTCTATCTCTATCTCTATCTCTATCTCTATCTCTATCTCTTTTTCTTCTAATCTCATGCTACCTTGTGATTTCTCCATCTTTGAGCAGTTCTTGAGCCCAGTGCTTGTGCTGTGAGGCAGTCACACTTCCCTGCTGTTTATAGGAATGGTTTAGAGCAGTGGTCGCCAACCACTGGTCCACGGACCACTGGTGGTCCATGAGGTCCGAAAGGTTGGCGACCGCTGGTTTAGAGCCCAGAATGACATATTTCCCACTCGTGCTGTATCTCAGGTCGTGACTGGACTCAGCTGAGCACATAGTGTAACTGCTGCCCATATGAGTTGACAAAACAGCTCTATATGCAAAAGAAACATTTGCAATTTTAGATTTTGGCCAATGAAATTACTAAAAAGTGATTCCCAAAAATGAAACTTTGGGACCACCTTTACATACAGTAAATATAATTTATTTCTGAAAATCTAGCTCGTGATGATAGCTAATTTTAGGTAACTAGCTCAGGTTTCAGATTGTGATAGTGTTCAAACTGGTATTTACCACTGTAACAACTAGTTCTTAAAACATTCATGTTATTGTCAACTGTGCAATGGATAATAATAGCAGGATTTCATGTAGATTAAAAATTACCCTGCAGCTCAGCCAAGAGGCCATGTTAAAATCGCCAGCATTCTGCACTAATTACTTAAGAGCTGGGGCAGGAAACGGATTGTTGACTAGCAATAGCAGCTGATGTGTATGGATTCCAGCCCTTCCTCAGTTAGAATTAAACCTCTCAATACATACTCAGATCTCTTGGACCAACTTCATGGCAATTATAAAAGAATTTGAGCTAAAAGTCAAAGCACACAAAAGGAACAAGTGTTTTTATCAATGCCACCTAGCAGCATATAGAAGCATATGGTCTCCCTTCTGTATTGTTTTCAGGAAAACAGAAGACATGCCTTATTGCTCTGTTTTTCATATGCTCCTCTCCTAGAATGGAATCTTCACTGTTTCCAAACTTCCAGAGAACCACATGATTTGAGTACCTGGTATTAACCTTGCTGTGACTTCCTTTGGAGGAAGGAGGAATTCTGACTTGCCATGCTGTTTGCTTGATTTTTGAGAACTCTAAAATTGGGTTTCCTCAGCAATTAATGAGTCCTTTCAATTGCTCTTAATGAGGAGTTGGTAAAGATAATATTTTTTTGCAAGGTCACACTTACTCTGTCACAACTACTCAACTCTGCAGGCAAGTCTGAGGCAGCAGCCTAAGGACAGGGGCTGTGTTTGTAACTCCACAAAAACCAGCAGTGGGAAGGATTTGGCCTGCAGGTTGGAGTTTGCCCACCTCTACTCTAGATTCATATATCTAGTCAGTGAACTCAGGACCTCCCTCAAATCTCATTTTCCTTCTTTTAATTCTTAAGCAGTCTTATTTTTAATACTAGAGGCCTGGTGCACAAAATTAGTGCACTCGGAGTAGGGGGGTGTGTCCCTCAGCCTGGACTGTGCCCTCTTGCAGTCCAGGAGCCCTTGGGGGATGTCCAACTGATGGCTTAGGCCCTCTCCCCATGGGGAATGGCTTTGGTTGATTTGCATATTAGCCGTTTATTATATGGTGTGAATATAACAGGATAAAAGCAACTGAGTGAGAATTGGATGGCTTTAAAAATTATCTGTGTTGAATTGTTTTTCCTTGTGTGGCTCTTCCCCTCTACTTTTCTAGCCTAACTCAGTATGAACAATTGAGAGCCCATCAAGAAGCTGGAGCAGGAATCTCCCCAATGATCCTCAGTTCAGGAGAGGGGAAGGAAGTAGATATCTTACGAATGCTTACCAAGGCCAAAGATGAATATACAAAGGTGAGTTTTTGTTTGCCCTTGTGATACATAGGTAATTCCCACAGTGGGAATATGCACATTAAGAAAGTCTTAACTGCTACTATTCCTTCCATCAAACAAAATTATATGAAAACTAAAATCTTTGCTTTTAAGAGACTATGACTATTTGCTTTTAAATAGATTAAAAGGTAGCCTGAGAAATCAGTAACCTTCTTATGTACAAATAGTACACAGCCATAAAGTTTACTAGAAGACCCCCATAAAAATAGCAACAAACTGCCCTAGCTGGTTTTGCTCAGTGATTAGAGCATTGACCTGGGGATGGAAGAGTCAAGGGTTTGATTCCAGTCAAGGGCAGGTACCTTGGTTGCAGGCTCAATCCCTAGTCTTGGTCGGCATGTGTGGGAGGCAACCAATCAATGTGTCTCTCACACTGGTGTTTCTCTCTGTCTGTCTGTCTCTTCCCCTCCCTTCCACTCTCTCTAAAAATCAATGAATAAAATATTCTCGGGTGAGATTAACAGAAAAAAATAGCAACAAATATAAATTCTTTGGAATAAAATAACAAGAAATAAGCAAAACCTATATAAAGAAAACATTTAAACACTTCTGAAAGGCATAAAAATAGACTTGAACAAATGGACATATATGTCCTAATCTTAGACCAGGAGATAAAACTTCAGGTTTTCACTTCCTCATAAATTAATCTATAAATTTAAGATGATTCCTAAACAAATATAAACTGATTTCTTTCTTTTTTTCTCTTCTGGGGTCAGACAAGTTGATAATAAGGTTTTTGTGGGAAAATATACAAGGAAGAATAACTGGGGAAAACCCTGGCAAAGAAAAGCCGTTCTGGGTGGGAGAGAAGTGGGGAGCTAGCTCTACCTACCTGATAGTAAGACATTAAAGCCTGAACACTTAAAACAATGTGATATTGGTGTTGCTGCATGAACAATCAGATAGACCAATGGGACAGATCAGACAGTCCAAAATGAGACCCCAAAGTATATGAAATTTAGGATATGATAAAGATGAAAATTCCAAATCAGTTATTTTAATAGACTCTTAAATAAATGATGTTGGCTAACTGGTAGCCACTTGGAAAAATGCAAAATTGGATCTCTTCCTCGTGCCATATGCAGGATAAATTCCAAATGTATTGCATTTATTATTACATGAAATTTTAAAAAATGTGTTTCATGGTTTAAAAAAACCACAAGCGAAGGGAAAAGGTACTGAAAACTAAGAAGAAATGTTTACAGCTAAATAACAGAAAGAGGGTTAATTTTCCTGTTTTATAAAGCGCTTTTATAAAAATCAAGAAGTAAAAGGTTAACGCTCTCTAGAAACATGGGCAAAGAATAAAATTAGAAAAGAAAAGGAAACCTAGAATTTGAAAATTAGATGAAATAAATGGACATAATTAAATATCATATTATGACATAATTACTTAGAAAAAAATTAGTGACTTCAGAACTCCTTATTTGAACTAAATACCCTTAGTGGATTATATTTTAAGGACAGAAAGAACTACAAAGAAATTATAAACTTCATTCAGCGGCTTTGTTAGCATTGTAATTTTTCAGGTGTCATAAGATATAATAAATGAGTACAGTTGACCCTTTAACAATGCATGGGTTAGGGATACTGACCCCATACACAGTTGAATATCCACATATAACTTTTTACTCCCCCAAGCACTTAACTAATAATCTAATCTTGACCAGATGACTTACCAATAACATGAATAATAGATTAACACATATTTTGTATGTTGTATGTAATATATACTGTATTCTTACAATGAAAGGATAGAGAAAAGATGTTATTATGAACAAATCACAGGGAAGAGAAAATACATGTACTGTATTTTTTTGAAATATGTTTTTATTGATTTTTAGAAAGAGAGGAAGAGAGAGGGGAAAAGAGATAGAAATTGATGAGAGAGAAACACATTGATTAACTGCCTCCTGCACACCCCCTGCACATACTGGGGATCTAGCCTGCAACCCCGGCATGTGCCCTGACCAGGAATCAAACCTGTGACTTCTTTTTTTTTTTTTACAGAGAGGAAGGGAGAGAGATAGAGAGTTAGAAACATCGATGAGAGAGAAACATCGATCAGCTGCCTCCTGCACACCCACTACTGGGGTTGTGGTCGCAGCCAAGGTACATGCCCTTGACCGGAATCGAACCTGAGACCCTTCAGTCTGCAGGCCGATGCTCTATCCACTGAGCCAAACCGGTTACGGCAAACCTGTGACTTCTTGGTGCATAGGTCAGTGCTCAACCACTGAGGCCCATGTACTGTATTGAAAAAAATTGCATATAAGTGATCCACACAATTCAAATCCATGTTGTTCAAGGGTCAACTTTGTGGTCAGAATAAAATCTTCAGTGTAAGAGGAAAAAATAAATATATAATGTTAAATTTTAAATGCAAATATCTGAATTAGTTGACATTTTATTTCTTAAATATGTAGTTAACTTTTCCCCCTGAAAAGACCTAGAAATAAGTGATCAAAGACCCTGTAGCAATAAATACCTCTAGCCCCCATATTATTGTTTATAAATACTATTTCCTCATAAAAGGTTTCCAGGCTCTTTAAAGAAACACCTAATTCCAGGATATGAAAGTCAAACAAATAGGATCATGTGAAAGGAGTACAGTAGTCAGCTTGAAGGGACCACAAACCAAAGTAACAAATTCTAACATCAACAAGAATGACTGCAGCCCTACCTGGTTTGGCTCAGTAGATAGAGCGTTGGCCTGCGGACTGAAGGGTCCGCAGGTTTGATTGGGTCCTTTGTTCCCCCTAAGAACTGGCAAGCCGGGGACAGACTGCACCTCCCCTGGGTTCTAATTGGGGACAGACTGCACCTCCCCTGGGTTTGATTCCAGTCAAGGGCACATGCCTGGGTTGCGGGCTCAATCCCCAGTAGACAGCTGATCAAGATTCTCATCAATGACTCTCATCATTGATGTTTCTATCTCTCTGTCCCTCTCCCTTCCTCTATGAAATCAATAAAAATATTTTTTTAAAAAAAGAATGACTGCAGTGGATTGAAACCCACTGAATTTATAAAGTCTATGAGTTCATAGAGATGAAAGAGAGCAAGCAACCAAAAATATAAAACAAAACAAAAATATAATTATTAGCTATCCTTGGAGATACTAGGACACCAACCAGCTCCTTCCTCTGAAAATTGGTAGTTAATGAAAAATAATTAAGCATTTATTCTACCTGGCCAGTATGGACTATATTTCAGAGTAACCAAATAGTCCTTGTTCATGAGGGGAAGTTCTTCTCTATTAAAGAATCCCAAGAATTCCCCTTCTTAATGTAATAGAGTAATAGAACTTAAAAACACTCTAGTAAAATAATTGATTCAGGCAATGATCATCAATAATGTTAATAATATGAGAAGAATTGATGAAAGGGTTTAGGGTGCCACCACCTGAACCCAATGATAACATAATTAAAAATTGAATAACCAGACATTATGTGCCTCTTACTGTGATATGATGTGAAACATATAGCACCACCTTGAAATATTCTTGCCAAAAGAGTTGATTCTGAATCGAAGTCTTGAGCTTGAACTTTCTAGTTTACAGAAAATGAAAGAGGAAGGAGTAAGGAGCAGATAGAAAACAAATAACACCACAAGGAAACAATCAGAAAAGTCCTGAATGAAGTGGGACATACTAAAGGACAGTTGGCTGAGTTTCTTTAATATGCCTTGGACTTGATTGTTGACTCACCCTTTATTGTTAGACTGTGAGCTCCTTGAGTACAAAGAACATCCCTAGTCTTCTTCCAAGTTCCTGGCACATGATAAATGCCAAATAAATGTTTGTTGAATGAAGGAATGAATATGAATACAAATATGAATAAATGAGAGTTTCATTATTCTATCATAGGGCTTGGACAGAGATGCTTTAATTCCAGCTTTAGTCTGTAATAACTATCTCTATATTGTTTATTTTATTTCTTAAAATCTTTCAAAGATATCCTAATGACTTGGCAACTAGTCAAGTAATAAGTTATACTTTAATTGTACTATGTTAGGCACACTATAGATTAATCTTAAAAAGTAAAATTTTACCTCCCAGGAACTTTGGTTCTATGTGGCCAGTAAATAATAAATGTAAATATTGAATAAATACTTTTTCTTCCTCTCTCCTCCCAAAAAACATGTACAGACACACACACTGTACTGTTTATATTTTATGAGTAAAGGCCCAGTGCACAAAATTCATGCACAGGTAGGGTCCCCTAGGCCTGACCAGTGATCAGGGCTGATCTGTGGGGTGACTGGTGGGACCTCCGCTGACACCCACCTTGGCAAGCCTGGCGCTGCCCGCTTGCCAGCCCCGCCTCCCACCACTGCTGCTGGTTGCCTCCCTCTGTGGGGCTACTGGTGGGGCGATCAGGGCCCCCACTGGCACCTGCCTTGGCTGTACTGGGGCCTGCTGGCTGGGGGCAGCTCCTGCTTTGACCATCTGCCCCCTGGTGGTCAGTGTGTGTCATAGTGACCTGTCATTCTGCCATTCAGTGGATTTGCATATTCGCCTTTTATTATATAGAATGTTTTGGCACCTTAACAATCTTCTAATTGGGGACAGACTGTACCTCCCTGAGCTTGCCAGTTCTTAGGGGGGACAAAGGACCCAACCAGAAACATGCCTTCATATGCAAACTATCCTGAGCCATCCCTCCCCTGTCTGATCTGTGTTCACCAGGAAGC